CAGCATACCGATTCCAGTGGAAATCCTCTTGGACCACCTAGAAAAACCTTAGCCCATAAGATATTCGTCGGTCGCCTCACAGAGAAAATCACAGAAGAAACATTGCGAGACTTCTTCAACAAGGAAGCTAAGGAAGTCAAGGAAGCAGCATCGGTAGGAGCTTTTCACAGAACAGAGAGTGAATGTTGGAACAATTCCTCTTAAAGCATGCAATACTTGCTGTGTTTCAGGTGACAAATGTACTCATTCCTCGCCCATTCCGTGGCTATGGGTTCGTTACGTTCACGCACGCGGAGGTCGCTGACAAAATGGTCAAGTAAGTTCCGTTTTTCGTGAAACCGTCGAAACCTTAATAAACAACGCTTGAAATCCTACGAATGCTAGAAAAGAAGAGGAATGCTCTGCCTAAAAATGCTCGTTACCTATTTAGAGCCAACAATTTTTTGATCGACGGTTTGTCTGTAGTTGTGACTTATGCTGTTTCACGTGAATCCCACCAAGCTGGTGCTAATGTTCCACCTGGATATGCCAACGACTTTGGGTCTGCATACGGTTATGGAAAAGGTGGAGCTGGTTATGATGAAGCACCACTTGGGCTTATCCCTTTCGCCTCAACGGTTAGTTGCAGAATAATGTTTGAGTTCTCATGGTTGTCATTTCAGCTTGTTGGACTTTGGTTTTTCTCACTTCTGAACTAGTTTATGATTAGAATGTTAATTAGAAAATTATTTTCAGGAAATGTTTGGATACAGTCCCCTTAGTAGAATGTACCCTCGGCCTTCATATGAAGGTTGGGCGACACCACCAGCAAATATGCAAGGCACTCCACGTTCGGTTCGAGCTGTGGGACACGATCAGCCACGGTACTTTTGAGACATCTCATGTTTTCTTTGTTTCCTCAAGCTGTTCGCAGAAATGCATATCTTCTCGTAACTGTTTTGCCTGCAGGCGAGTTTGTGAAATAAGTGTTTTCAACTATTCTATGACTTTTCCTCATCCATAATTGATTTGACTTCCACAGACTTTAATGTTGCATATTCCATGTACACATAAAGTTTGGTTAATTTTATTTTCCATATCTTGGAATGCGGCGAGTTTTTTGATTAATATTGGCACAGCTGAATATTGGCACAGCTGAATCTAGTCTGGCAGAGAGGTCAGCAGCCAACCAACTTAACCATGTTACACCACAGACGGAAGGGTGTAGGTGGGGTGTAACTTGACGTGAAACTGTATGGCCCACCCATCCCATAAGTCAACCACGCTTTCGTGTCCCTTTAACAGGTTTCTATTTATTTTATTTGATTCGGTCTGATCACTCGCCCAGACTAACTAAGCCTCTCATCCCTAAGAGTCGGTTGGTTGGTAACGGGCACATTTGGACGATAGAAGCACCAAGATCGGCCGATTACCGGAAGTCATTGTAAAGGCCACATGCGG